AGTAAGGGAACATAAGAAATCAATCCAACAGCTCAGAGATGTTGCAAAGAAAAATAATATAAGACTGATAGGAGTCCATGAAAAAGGAGGAGAAAGTACAAGTGACATTAAAAATAAACTGTTCACAGAATTAATGACAGAAAAATTTCCAAACAGAACAAAAGAATTTGACATGCAGATAAGTGAGGCTTATAGAATACCAATTAGCCATGATAAAAAAAATCTACACCTATACATGTAATATCAAAATACCAGAAACCCAACAGAAGAACAAAATACTACAAGCAGAGAAAAGGAACGTATCACATGCAAAAGAAAGCCCATCAGAATATCAGCAGGCATTTCAACCCAGCCCTCAAGTCAAGGATAGCCTGGAGTGAGGTCTTTCAAGCTCTAAAAGAAAACAACCTCCAACCTAGACTGATGTGTCCTGCAAAGCTATCTTTCAAAGTTGACAGTGAAATAAAATACTTTCATGACAAAGAACACCTGAGAAACTTCAAGAATACCAAACCAGCACTCCAGACAATTGTCAATAATACCCTATAAAAAAGACAATGAAGATTGCAACTCCATGAGGCCCAACAGAGCAAATCCAGCAGTCGAATCAAGAAATTAAAGGGAGAGGGGAAAAAAATTAGAAAAAGCAAATAACAGAAAAATAACACATGATGCTAAATCAATACATATCAGTTATAAACATCAATGTTAATGGACTCAGTTCACCAATCAAAAGAAACAGACTGGTAGATGGTTTCTGTTTTATATTTAGATCTTTGATACATTTTGATTTTAGTTTAGTTATGCTGGATTTAGAGATATGAACCTAAAGTCAATCTTCAGCATGTGAATTCCAATTTTCCCAGCAATCTTTGTTAAAGAGGTTAGCTGTCCTCCAGTGAAAGAATTCAGCACCTTTGTCAAAAAAAAAGGTAGCTGAATGTGCCTGGAGTCCTTTTTGCAACCCTCTCCTGTTCCACTGATCTACAAATCTTTTTTTTTTTTTTTTTACAACAGCATGTTTTTATCACATAGACTTATAGTATAACTTAAAGGTCAGAACTGTGTGATGCCTTTTTCCTTTCCTTGTTTCCAAGAGTTGTTTTTGCTATTCTAGTCCTCTTCTGGTTCCATATGAGTTTAAGGATTTTTCTCTGGGTTTTTGAAGAATGCTATTAACATTTTGATGAGATTGCATTAAATTTGTACAACAGTTTTGGAAGTTTGGCCATTTTTACTGCATGGGTTAAAGGTAAAAGAAGCCATTTTCATTGCTGGTGGGAGTGTAAACTGTCATAACCACTATGAAAATCAGTATGGAGATTCCTCCAAAAACTAAACTAAAAATACAAATTCTGTCTGACCCAGCTATTCCTCTACTAGATATCTTCTTGAAAGAGTTAAAGACATCATAATTACAATGATACATAAATATCCATTTTTGTAGCAGCATAATTCAGAGCAGCTAAATCTTGGAAACAAGCCTCAGTGTCCATCAACAGATAAATGAATTTAAAAAAAAAATACAATGGAGTACCACCTGCCATAAAGAGGGAAAAACTTGAGTAATCTGTAGGAAAATGCATACTCCTTGAGAGCATAATATTAAGTGAAATAAATCAGGCAAAGAAGCTTAAATATTGCATAGTCTATCTTATATGAGAACTCCAATATAGACAAAATTTTATTTTTAAATAAAAAATAAAGCAATAGATTTATTGAAAACCAAATTTTAATACTTTACTTTTCACAATTTACAAAGATCTAAATATTTCAATAAATCTCTTAACAATCAGTATGTAGTTTTATCCAAACAGAGGAAAACTCTTCGTTCATTATCCAGCAATGTCATTCACAATCCTAAAGAAGATAGAATTGATACATACAAAATTGAGTAACTCAATGACAGCAAACAGACAATAACATTTGACTGATAATTGCTTTGGAGCATCAACAGTAGGTCAATACATTTATTGATAAAAGTGTGTTCCTTAAACTCCATACTACTTATTATGTGAATTGATTGCCAAAAGACTTTATCATAGATCTCCAAAAATAAAAAATCTATTTCATTAACATTTCTAATAGATTTATAAAAATTAAAGTCTTCTATTTTTCAATTCATTATGGATTGTTAATAATCTATCTTTTAATTAAATCACAATCACAATTTTCTAATTTAAAATAAAGATGAACATTCACGGGGTGTTACATCTGTCTTTTGCAAATGATAAATTTTTATAGTGAGTGTGATGATCAACTCTAACTTTTTATTCTGTAAATCAGCCAGAACTCAAAATGACCTCCCATAAAGAGCAAATCTGCAAACTAAATTCATCTTTTAAAGAAAAATGTCGATGTGTCCATTTCCCTAGTCAGTGGACTATCCCACCTCTATCAAGCATCCTGATTTCTGATATCAAAAAAACACCCTTCAAGATATTCAATAACAAGTTCATTCGAAACAAAGTAGAAAAAATTTTTGAAGTTTAAAAAGTTAATTTTCCTAGAGATATTTTACTTTTAGCAATGTACAATCTTCGGCCAAAAGAAATAATTTTCAATTGAGAAATAGAGACGTCAGCTAATAATGGGCTTCCTGTATCTACTAGAGTTACTTTTCCTATGAAATTTCATCTTACACAAAAGCATGAGTTTGTCATAATAGAAAATTTAGTAATTATTATCTTATATGAAGGAACAACATTTTCTTGTCTTTTTAGCTCTAGCATCTTTAAATTCCTAGTTGAAGAAGGGTTCTGTAACAAAGGAAAAATCCTTATGTTTTATCTCCTTGCTATACATCAACTTAGAAATTATCTGTACATTAGATTATTTTAAAAGAATACATTAAAAAGAACTGAGTAAGCAATGTTTTTTTTTCATTAAGTTTATTGGTACATTTTAGGTGTACAATACAGTTACACTCATCATTAGCATCTTGTACTTTTACATAATGTATCTTGATTCTTATTTTTCCCCACTTCCCAGCCCTCCCTACTTCCCCTCCACCCTTCCCTATTTTTTTATATTAAAAGTATTTATTTTATAATTATGCACATTGAAGGAATGCATGACAGCCAAGTTTTTCCACTATGAAATTATACCCATTTATTTAGCTAGAAACACTAGCTTGAAAGGTACCAGTATATTCCATTGGTAATAATTTCTCGACAGCAAACAATTGTCTTATTTTTGGAGCACGCTGAGTAAAATAATGCCTGGAAAGTCTTTTTTGACTATTTCTTCTGAGTCTCCTTCATTGAGAGTTCAAGGTACTTTGGGAGAATCCTTGGATCCTGGATGGCCTGATGAATGCACTGAAATCAAACATTGTGTTTGTATCCTGAAAATACTCTTAAGTCCACACAAGTGTTCTGTGGTGTGTGGAAATTTGAAATCAAATTTCTCCTACTGGCACTATGACACTGGAAGCACATTTGTTATGAAAGTTTTGCATCCATTTTGTTCTGTAACTTCTTCATTAGCCTCTGTGCTTCCTTTTCCATTGTCTTCCTTTGTTGTTCTGCTGCTCTCTTTTCTCTGCTAATTTTCTGTTGTCTCAGAACTTCTGCTTGCCAGGCTTCCTCTTCCTCCTCCACCTCCTCCTCCTTCGTCTTCCCAGGGGTTGGTATTTTTTGCCAGGTATCCAAGTCACCTAATTCAGAAGATTGATGCATAAAAGGCATATCTTGTGTGGCTGCTAATCTGCTGGAGAAGCCCGTGCTACCATCTAGAATGCCAAAATGTAATGGTTCTCTCTTTTTAATAACAATTTTCTGGGTTTTCCTTACAGGAGGTGTCACGTCCTTAAAGCAGGTTCACCTGCTCCAGGGCGTTCTGCCCCATTTGCATTTCCGCTTCCATCTTTCTGCTTGTGGGGAGCATCTTCATCCCAGGACGTCCGCTCCTCCACACCTCTCTGCTCAGGGACTGATGAATAATCCACAGTAGTTGGCAGAGTAATGTGGTCTCCACTTAATTCCCTTCCTCCCCCAGATCTGCATAGTGATCTCTTTAGAAAGGAGAATACCGTTGCTAGGCAGATACAAACTTTAAATAACCGAAATGGAGGAATGGCCATGATGGGAATCAAATCCTGAACTTTCTCCTAAATGTGGAAGTCGAAAGCGCCGCAGCAGCAAGTGTGAGAGAAGCCGAATAGGAAGTGGCGTCTGGGAGCCGGGCTGTAACACGGAACACTGCTTTTTCCATTTCTGGCCACTGAAAGTCAGGCCCTGGGGCTGTCACCAAGGCAGGTTAAGGTCTCTCGCAGGACTAAACTCAGAGTTTGAGAACTGAAATAGTTTGATTTCAGACTAGCAACTTAAATGGGTACGGGGGTATCATACCCACTGCAAGGATGACAAAAGCGACCCAAGCGTTTTGCTACCGCACCAGCCCACTGCCACGCACGGCGCCACCGGGGCGCGAGAGCCTAAGTGGTGGGGTGCACGGGCTGCGCGCCAGTGTGGGATCAGCCGGCAGAGAGGCCCACAGGCCCAGCTCCCTCGCCTCCACCCTTCCCTACTTACAAAGACTTTGTTTCCATGCTTTTCCATTTCTCATATGTCTTTTTCTCTTCCTTTCTTTCCTTTCCCCTACCCCTCCCACTTCCCCTACTCTTTTAGACGTTTTCTTCCTATTTCACAATACCAATTATATATATCCTTTTTGAACCTGATTCCTAAGCTAGAGCGAATGTTTCAAAAATAGTAAAAACTTATTTTTCACAGCAGAAGTATACGTCGAATCTGGTTCTTTTCGCTAGAAACAGATCTACATGACACAGATAAACTACAAGAAAGTTCAAGTAATTAGTCCCATCTTCCTCAGATCAAATAAATTAAGAAAATTAAAACCAAAGAAGAAAATTGCATGCAATAGAAAAGTTATAATTTCTAATCAGTATGGACAGGTGTGAAACACGGTCTGTAGGAAAAGAGGGATGGTAATAGTTCTCATATTTAAGGGTCCATCAGACACCAAAAAATTCTTACCCATTCAGGATGGAAAACTCTGTGTGTCCTCAAGAAACTTCAACAAGATTAACTGAAATAGAACACACCACAAGGCAGACTATTAGATGTCTATCAAAACACAAGTTCCCTTGATTTCTGGATACAAGATTTAATGAAATTTCCAGGTTCTTTCTTACAATGGAGTCATATGCATTTTTCTACATGTGACACGTGTCTCTTACAGACCAATGTTTTAGGACTTTAATATGCCTTTATCACATTGCCTTTCCCCTAATTAACTGAACTCACAAAGACTTGTGGTCACCATGCAAACGCGAACAGGCTGAAAGGATGTTGGCATAATCAATGGAAAGAACATAAATACCTAAATAATTTCATGAAACAAATTTGAACCACTCAGTTCGGATTGCTTTCTCTCTCTCTCTCTCTCTCTCTCTCTCTCTCTCTCTCTCTCTCTCTCTCTTTTGTACCAGGCATCAAACTCAGGTCCTTGTGCTTGTGAAGCAGGGAATGGAACCACAGAGCTAAATCACCAGCCCAGTTTGGATTGTTATGTAAAGGAAAAATCAAATTCTATAACTTAGTGATTTGTTGTTGTCTTTTCACACCCTAACTAATGCAAATCAATATTTTATGTTCGGGGCTGGGGATTTAGCTCAGTGGTTCCAGAGCCTGCTTCACAAGCTCAAGGACTCGAGTTTGAACCATGGTACCAAAAAAAAAAAAAAAAAAATTCTGTTCACTGAAACTGTCAAAAACATCATCTTTGGTACGCCTACTCTACTTCCTGACCAGTATAGGCTTGGCTCTAGTTTGGAGTGGTCAAACATTATATATGAGTATAAGCAACCTTTGAAAAGGTATAGCCAAACAGTAACTCTGCCAATGTAATCCAGCATCATAAAGGTACATAAATTCAACAGCTGTAATCAGGTTTCATAATTCATCTTTATATAAAAACTTGAAGGGCCCAACAGAAGAAAGCCTTATTAAGAACAATGTTTTACATTTTTTAAAAATCATTTAAATCCATAGCTAGTTCCATTTTGAAATTTTACTTAGTGTTTGGTCAACACTAGTAATAAGGTAGTAGGACTTTCTGAGAAGTGTTTCATTTTTTAGCTTCCTCTGTGTCTTTTATTTACCTCAAAATGCCTAGATGTCTTTTAGTGAAATTTCTTTCATTATCCAGCTCAAGTTAAGATTTCAGATAATAACCTGAGGCAAAACAAAAAACTATTTGAATTTATATGCAAAACAAATTATTAATTTCAATGTTTCCCCAATGTTTTTAAAGAATATAGTGAGTGAAAAATGACAAGAATTTCCTCAGATAAAAAGACTTAATTCATCTACTTTTCAGTGTTGTCTAGAATTGGCTGGCTTTAGTATAAATGAAATGCAAATCAAATGATAATAAAAAGAATAGAAGTCAATAAACAGACAAAACAACCAAAGAGAGGGACATAGTATTCTTAAGATATATATGATTAAATCTACAGGTTATAATCAGTTTTATATGGAAGCAATTGATATATGTTATATTTTTTCTAGGATTGATATAAGAACCTCAGACCTTTCCCCTAAAATTTATCATATTTGCTCATTGATACCTAAAATTATATTGTTAAAGTGAAAATAACGCAATATTTTTAAGCCCTAAAAGGTAGATTCCCTATCTGTAAAATGACAAAAATAACACCTATTTTGAAAATTTTCTGGTGTTTGAGAAAATAATATATGTGGACTTCCAAAACAAATCCTACTACACAGTAGTAGCTCAATAAGTTTTTTTTTCCTCTTCATTTCCCTCTTATTACAAAAACATGCAATATTCTTCTACCCCAATGTATTGGTCAGCTTTCCCATCACTGGGACACAATACCCAACACCCACACACTAGAGGAGGGAAGATTTAATTTGGCTCATGCTTCCAAGTACTTCAGTCCATGATGAGCTGCTCCAAAAGCAGGGATATCATGGCACAAGAACATGGTACAGCAGAGCGGATAAATTATGGCAACTTGGAAAGAGCAGAAGAACAATTTCCTTAGGAGGCCTTCTTGGGAAGAGACCCAAGAACTCTTCTCAAATGAAGAATTTATACTTTTGTACTCTAGAGCCTTCCATCCATATGGTCTTGCTGGTGTTTTGAGATGCTTTGAAGGTGGTTTTCTTCTTCCACCTATACAAAGTACTTGGTTTCATTCTAGTGATGCTTATCTGCTTAGCAATCACATTGCTTTGGCCCTAACTTTTCACATGATCCCTTTGGGACCAACAAAACTTGTTCAAACTCTCTGCTCTGCTTTTTACCCCCCCAACAACTCTCATTATAAATCTGACTAAAAGCACCCAGCAAGTCCCATATCAAAGCCTGAATATCAGGCTGCCATGAAATTTCCTCCACCAAATAATTCATTTTATCACTCTTCATCTCTGTCTCCTATAAATTCTCAGGACATGGACAAGATGTTGACAAACTTTCATAGAGTGTTACACACATGGACTCTACCCCACTGCCCCAATTGAAACCTTCTCAGCCTAGTCTTTATTGTCCTTACTCCTATCAGCATTCTGTTCTTCTGAACTTGGGCCAGAATCTAGAGTCATGCATCGGGTTCTGCTTAAAGCATTCCAGGAATTTTCTAGCCTACAGTTCCAAACCTTTCCAAACTTGTCCAGCAAACTAGTTCCAAAGGCTTCTAAACTACATGGTAAGGTACAAACACGCTAGTGACCACAACTCTCTGGTAATGCTAATTTTCTGTATTGACATTCCTGTTGCTGCACAAATATCCAATACCTAGAATGTAAAGGAGGAGAGTTTTAATTTAGTTTACCATCTCGGGGATTCACTCTGTAAGAAACAAGGTCTTTTTTTTTCTTTTAACAAGGTCTTTTCTATCAAAGGATATAAATGGAAGTGCCTCCAATTTAAACTCTAGTCCACCCTAGGCTGCCCTTCCTCACTCCTTACACCAGTATGGGAAATGTTTGTTCTGCTTAGATCCTGGGAAGTTGACTGACCACCAAACATAATTTATCAACAGCCAACAACTTTTAGTTCCCTATACTCCCACTGTTCCCTCCTCTGGCACCCTTTCAGGCCTTCCCCTCATGCTGCTTAAACTAGCCAATCAGGATTGATTGTGAAATTTCAAACCAGCCACTGGGGACATTGTCAGCTGCTTCTCAGCATTAGAAATGAAAGGAGCCTACTGCAGCTTTTCTGCTCACCTGCTGTCTCATGCTAGAGTGTGCTCACACCCTTCTGAAGAAGTGAAAAACCTTGTCAAGATCTCTTGATATCTGAGTGGTTTTATTATCTGTACAGACATATTGAATCTGGTAGTATATTCCCAACAATTTCGTGGTCAGCTATCCCAGAGGCAAAGACATCATGTCAGAAAAGCACAGTGGAACAAAGATTTTGTTCATGATGGCCAAGATAGAAAGTCAAACAGAGGCAGAAAGCTGCCCCGGCCCACAGGGCTTGTAATTAGCAGAGCTCGAGAAGGGGAGATAGCTGGAAATGGGACAAGAGAGGCGCAGAGAGAAGGAGACCAAGCAGAGGCTTGTCAAGGTCTCGTTTATTTGCAGGCACAAGCAGTATATTAAGGCAAAAACCACAAATTTGTAAGAGGAAGTGGTTAATCATAAGACGATAAAGGAGAAACGTATTGTACAGTAACAGTTATGATGAGATACAGTTGTTATGTAACAGATTAGGTCATTAAATGAGCAAGGCCATTAGTGCAGTCATCGGCACGTCTGTGCCAGTGAGGTGATTCAGATGTAAACATGGAGGCGGTTATGTTAGGCTCAAAAACAACTCTGAGAATATGAATATTTGGTCTCCTACAGAAAGCAAAAGGGTGAAGGACCAGATATAGAACCCATCATCATGCCTGCATGAACCACCCAGACACATCTACATGTATGTTTCACCAATACCCTGGGGCAGATCCCAAAGCCAATCAAACTGACATTTAACCTTATCAGTCAGTTGCATTCAGGTACTTTATTTGAGAAACTCAAACATTTGAATCCAGCAAAAGATAATATACAATGATATGATTAGTTTGGCATCTTTTAATCATCATAATAGCAACTAACCTATGAAGCATACTTACAACTCTATACCACAATCTTTAAAATGTTTTACAGATGTAAAATTTTAAAATTTAGATTAAAAATATTGCCGTGTTGCGCAGCTAGTCAGTTGAAGACCTGGAGTTTTCAGAAAGGAATGCAGCTCAAGTGCCCTTGGTTTCTCAACTTTATTTTATAATAGTCTGCCTGGAAATAAAATTGTCTTATGTTTATGTTTACTATTTAGTAGCACTTAAAAACATTTTTCCTTGGGCTAGGGATTTAGCTCAGTGGTTCTGCTGCCTGCCTTGCAAGTGCAAGGACTCCAGTTCGATCCCTAGTACCAAAAAAAAAAAAAAAAAAAATTATCCTGAGCCTATATATTACAATAACAGTATTGGACCTAACTTTCTATTCAAAAATATTTTCACTCAACTATATTATTGGCCTTTGTATGTTTATCAATAATGTCACAGTTAATCTGAGTCAAATTTTTTATAAGTGTAATAAAAATAGATCTTAGAAATTATGAGACATTAGATTGCTAGGAGGCTTTTTTTCATTAATCTTCAAGATTAGATTGGGCATGACCTCTGCACCATTTAGGATACATTAAACAGTGAGCATGTGAACATATTAGTACTCTATCTGGCTTGTCATTTTATAAAATTAAACATTTAAATTATGCTTCTTTATAATTATCTCCAATTTTCTTGAATTTGGGGATTTTTTTACTATAATTTTATAGAGCTGGAAATTACTCAAGGAAAATATTTAATTGATGATCAGCAACAATATTTATTGAATAGAACATAATGCTTAAGCTGAAGTATATTGGACTTTAATTGTAAGTTGTACCTTACTTTATTTTAGCATTTTCAAGATTACCATTCTTTTGTGTTCTATATTTTACTGTTCATTTTGGGAAGATAGCTAACACTCATATGTGTGTGTGTGTGTGTGTGTGTGTGTGTGTGTGTGTGTGTTTGTACCGGGATTGAACTCTGGTTCTTGCACTTGCAAGGCAGGCCACCAAACTGCTGAGCTAAATCCCCAGCCCCTATAATATATTTTTTTGTTCTGATTGTTTTTAGGGTTTTCTTTCAGTGTTTAGTTTTTAGTTTTACCATGATCCACTGAAGTACACTTTTCTTTTGTATTTATCTTGCTTGAGGTTCTTATCACTATCTGAATGTATACTTTTAATCAATTTTATAATTTTTTCTATATGAGCTCTTTATTTTTCTTCCTCATCTTCCTGATCTTTCTACTTCAAGAACGTCCTCAGCACTAATATGAACTTTTTCAAAAGTCTCCTAACTTTTCTCCACGTCTCTAGTCTTAAATATGTATTCTTAAATAACTGCATACCTTTCACTATTAAAACACCCAGGGTCTATAAAATGAATTCAAAAATCCTTAGCAGAGTACATGTACAAGGCACTGTATGATATTATACCACCTAATACTCAAAGATGGGTCCTGCTTTTACTAGACTTAATACTTCAAACTTTAAACATCCTGTTATCGATTGTAACCCACAACCCCAATGCATATTGAGATCAGTAATACAATATTACTTCTTATCTTTCCTGTAATACCACTAAACTAAAAACACAAATACCTGAAAATACGATTAATATTTGAGAAGAATGTAGTCAAGAGATATTAGCACAAATGGTACATACCAACAGATTTCTAGAAGCTGGATGATACAGAACAATAAACCAAATGGAATTCAAAATAAAGGTCTATAAAATAAAGTCAAGGAACTCTCTTCAGTTGTGAAGCAAATCTGGCACAGTGAGACGCTCCTATATTCACAGCCATGAGAAGGTGATGAATAAGGATTGTGAGTTCAAGGCCAGAGTTGTAGGGACAAGTACAGAGGTCCAACATTTGAATAAAATGCAAATTCAAAACATAGTAATCACAGAAAATAGGGAAGAAGTTAATAGAGAGTGAAGCAACTTCTCACAGATACAAGATGTGTTTTAAAAATGAAAAAAACTGGAAGAATAACAATAAAGGCTCAGACTTAAAGATGATCATAAAATCTTCCAAAATAGGATACCTAAAAATGGATTAAGATAAATTTAAGATCAACACTGAATGCTTAGAAGGTAGATCAATGGCTTCAAGTTAAATAATTTATACTCAGTACAAACACGTGTGTGCATACACACGTAGAGTAGAATAGTCATCTGCTAATACTATAAATACTTCCCACAGATCCTTTATTTAAAAAGTATTTTACTGTCTTCACTAGAGAAATAAAGAACAAAACAAAAGAGAAAAAGAAAGAAGATCATAAAGTGGTGGAGAAGAGATAGGATTCCTCATGAATGGATCCCAGCCGGGAAAGCAAAGTAGGAAATTCTTGAGATCAAGCTGGAAATTTCAGGGAGTAACTGATTCAGATTAGAGTAAAAAGGACTGAGGGTGCCAGGAAAAGGCATCAGAGAGAACTCAACTGAGAGTGCACTCTATGGGGTGTATGTGCAAATGAAATAAAGTGCATATTACCATTTCAAAACATGAGTGATGCCTTAAGTGCTAACACAAGGAAAACAAAGGAACAAAATTTCGTTGAAGCCATAATTAAAATTTAGACCAAATAAACTTCTGCATGATATTAAGCAATTATTTAAAGAGAAAGAATGTGTTCCATCCTAGCACAAGGAAAGCAAAACAAAATTTTTGAGTCAATATATAGAGAAAGACTACAGGATTTGAGTGCTGTTTCATATAAAACCATTAATGGTAATAGCATTAACAAAATAAAAATATTAACTTACTTGTCAAGTGGTAAAATATCATGGAGTTACCAGGTGGAAAAATGTATAGGTGATAAGCTCATACCATAATAATATATCAGGATATGTTTAGAGTAACAAAAGTAACCTGTTGAATTAATACAATGTTAAACAATCCTAGGACATTCAAAGATATGACAATCACATGGGGAAATATTATGGTGGAACCACCGAAATGATACAAACAAAAGTACTGATGACAGTCGACCTCCAGGAAGCAAGACAGCTGTTCAAGAGAAATGGTTCCGTTGGCTTTATCACTAGCTCTTTTATGTAACTTGTATTAAATTAGTTCTTTAAACAGTCTTTGAAGACAGAGAGTTTAAATGACCTACCTTGCAGGAAAGCTTTTCCAAAAATCTGACGAGCGGAGCTTTTCTCTGTACTTGCACAGTACCCAGCCATAACTCTGAAAGTCGCTGATTTATGGTACATGAATGACTATGTGTTTGTTTCTTCCAACAAACTCAGTACCAATGGAGTAGAGTCTAAATTTTATGCATCACTTTACCCTCTTCAACTGGTATAGTATCTGTGCAAAGGGGGTAATAATTATATGTTTAATTAATGAGTGAATAATCAACCATATAGGCAATCTACATTAAAATTGATGTCATTCCATTTATATAAATTAATATAGACATTAATGAAATATCTAATATCTTCCTTACCTCATTGTATATTTTAACTTCCTAATAACAGTAGAGTGGTATAATATAAAGCTCCATCACTTTCAAACCATCAAAAATGTATTAGAAGTTGTAAGGAAATTTGAGCCACAATGTAATATTCAAAATTCTTCATAATTTGAGTTTAAGCATAAATCAAACAGTTTGAAATCTATCTGGTTTTAAATCAACATACTGTGTTCAAAAATGTTAATATCCCTCACTAACTCACAGCATGACATGATCAGTCTTAATTTTGTATTATTTCATGGAAATGTTGCAATTACAAATTAGTCCACATCGATCAGTAAAAGTTAAAGGGCAGAATTAATTAATGGAAGTAATAAAGGGCAAAAAGTTAATATGATGACACATCTAAGGGCCTAAGATGTAGAAAGGCACTGTTATTTTCAAACTACCCATGTTGACTTGTGAGAGAACAAACAGAAATATCTGTGAATAAAACTGAATTTCAACACACTAAATTGTGTGTCAACATTTTAAAAAAATAATTACCAAAACTGACGACCACAAGTGAGTCTCATTATAGATGTGAAACTTCTGACTAATAGAACTAACAATGACTAATGACATTACAATAAACTGTGAAGAAAATGTGCAGCCGCTGCATTAGAACTATGTCTTTCTAGTTGATGTGTGGATTTATACCAAACCCTAATAAAAAACCATATGACTTATTTTTATTAAAATGCATGAAAAATTTTAGACACTGTATCATCTATGTACAATGTTTAAGCTGAAAATTCTTTCTGGTAAATTTTACTGTGAATAGTTAAAAAGTAGCATAATATTAAGAATAAATTCATCACACTTGAAGAATATATGGAATTTAAAATTAGTAGAGGAGTAGGTGACAATAAATACCTCATCTTTTGGAGAGTTCATGTGTGTTCAAAATTCCAACATAAACTAAATTCAAAAATAAAATTAGAATCTTACATTTTTCATTTATAAGCCTCCACCATTTACATATCACTTGTTCTCGAGAATAAAGTTTAGAAGTAGACCTGACAGCTGTATTGAACTACATTTATTTAGATGATTTACCACTATATTGAACTGGCTGGTCGCAAACTTCTGGGCTCAACTGATTGCGCTTGCTCAGCCTCCTGAGTAGTTGAGACAATTGACACATGCCACCACGCCCAATCTAAACTGTGTTTGAGAGAGAAGGAACATGACAGATGTTGGGATGGAAAGTCCAGTATCAGTAACTGAACAGTAAAATGAAGTCCTAGGGTTTGGGCCTTCTAATATTCAATATCTTTCTACCAATACTGGTCTTCAGGCTTTGCAGCTACCAAAGTATGCATATGTTTTCAGGTATTAATTAGGAATTTTTTGTAAAATCTTTAAATCTGTGATGCTATTTCAAAACCAGATAGCTTTTAAAGTCTTTCTCACCCTGTCATACCAAGAAATGACTCAGCACAAGTAAGCAAATGTGAGAAAAGATAGAAGCCTCATATGAAACCATAAAAGAAACACTCCACTACTGCCCCATTAAGCAACTGAGAGTGAAAATGAGCTATAGGGGTTGTGAAAGAAGTTTCAAAAAGAGCTCTTTTTATAAACTATGAAGTGTGTTCAAAAGATAAGGTGAAAGTTTGTATTTTTAACTGTATTCCATAAAGGACACATTGCCATTAATCTCCCTCAAAATACTCCCTTTTGTTTCCAAAACATTTACTTAGTATTTATTCTCAAGTTTTGAAGCAGTTCTTAAAGACCTCTTTTGTGCGTGTCTTTAGTTGCATGTCATAAGTCCTGAATTAATTCACATGTTCACCTTTCCTTATCATTTTGATGTTTGGGGGGAAGCTAAGAGGGCCAAAAGTCAGATGACACCATAACCTGTGAATAAGGTGCGTGAGAACACACTCTCTCGTGTGTTGACAAGTCTGCCTTTCTGCTGGAGGGCACTCAGCAGCAACATTCAACCTATTTTTTTTAAATGCAAACTTGTAATGGTCTTCATAAAAGAGGACTTCCGGATTTGTTTCAGAAGATGGGACAAGCGTGTTCAAAGTGAGGGGAAGTGTTTTGAGAGACATTAAAAGCATTGTGCTTTTACTATAAGAATTTTTTTTTAATTTGAACATTCACCATATTTTATCAGTCCTTGTGCATTTAGGGGGCTGTCTAGGATATCCATAGGTTTAAAATGATCATTTTGAACAATTTAAGGAAGCATACATGTAACTTTATGAGTTACTTCAAAATCTAACATGCGTATATATCTCTAAGTTGTATTGATTTCACCAAGTCATAGCTGTACCTCTCAGAAAGGGTGCATAGTCATGTTGTATCACTGAAGAATGTAGATTCATTCTGCAAAATGCGCTACCAAGGGGCTTCATCATTGTGGCCAGCATAGTGCACTCACAAAACCTAGGTGGCAAAGCCTAGGCTGTCTGGGTGGCTTCTGTCTTCCAGGCTGTAAAATTGTACGGCACGTTATTCTACTGAGGAGCGCAGGTAATCGTAATGCGATGGTTTTTGTGTATCTAAACACAGAAAAGGCACAGCAAAAACCTGGTATGGAAAACCTATTTAGGGCACTTGCTGTGATCGGAGCTCACAAGACTGGGAGTTGCTTTGGGTGAGCCAGGGAGTGGGTGGTGAGTGAATGCGAAGGCTGAAGATCTCGCTGCACATCACTGCGGTGGACTCCACAATCATTGCGACATGGCTATGCGCCATTACTTTTTTCTTTAATAACTTTAACTTACTGTTATCGTTTTACTTATAAACTTTTCAATGTTTTTAACAAGTTGGCTTTTCAAAGAACATTTAGTCTAAAATGCAAATACATTTAATCGCTACCCCAAAATTTTGGCTTACATTGTTACTTTAAAGTTTTTGTTTACTTTTAAACTGTCTTGTTAGAAAACGAGACACAAAGACACATCCTAACTGGACCTTCAGAGGGTCAGGATCATCAGTGTCACTGTCTTACCCTTCCTCGTTGTGTCCCACGGGAAGGTCTTCAGTGGCGGCAGCGCGCATGCAGCTGTCACTCGCTGGAATGACAACGCCTTCCACTGGAAATCTTCGGGAAGGCTGTGCCTGAAGATCTTCAGCAGGTGCCACTATTTTCTTTCAGAAATATACCTGCGGTTCTTTGTTTGGCTTGTTTCTTTTGTCATCACAGATCTGCTTGTAAGCAGACAATATTCAGCAGGTGCCACTATTTTCTTTCAGAAATTTACCTGCGGTTCTTTGTTTGGCTTGTTTCTTTTGTCATCACAGATCTGCTTGTAAGCAGACAATGCGCCATATGGCATTTCTTCCGATTAAATTTTTTGGTATGAGGATTCATCTTTTTCCGTTTTTAAGGAGATTAGTGGGCTTTGTAAAGGTTTCTGCTAAACCTTGCACTATGAGTTTTCTTGAGCATTCTTTTACTCCTCCTGCAGTTTCCTGTCTTCTTGTCTTGTCTTCAGCTGTGCAATAACTAGGTGATGGAAAAGCTTCAGTTTCATTATAATCTCATGGGAACACTGTCATACATGCAGTTCCTTGGTAATCAAAGCACCATTCTGTGACACAAGAATATATTTTACTTTTACCTGAAAACATTTTATCTCACAACAAGGTCCTAAAAATATTAGAAGAAAAGAAAACAATATCTGTGTTTCTGATTGAAAGCTAATTAATACCCTTTATACAAGATGTTCAGGTAAATTCCTGCAACCCATTTCAACCAGGCTGAACTTTGCATTGTATCTTTTTTAATCACTGTGGGCTTTAACATTAACACTCCAGACCTATGGATGCACTCCAAATACATAAATGCCTATTTGACACATGGTAAACAATAAAAAGATGCTTCTTTGTATCTAGGCGATGATTTATAATAGAAAATTAGTAAGCACAAAAGAGAAAGTGTGTTCATATTTTCCAGGGTAAGAGTCTTACTGGTAGTACTTTATTAAAAAAAAAAACTCAGAACTTGTGGCCCAAACAATCAAGTTTCATAGCAAAAATACAGAGCTCCTCTATCATTCCACAAGGCAGTTTCTAAACAAGTCACATATCAATCAAAGGGCAGATGATGGGTCTGGTATAGTACAGACACTTGGACATGCAGTGTGAGTTCAGTAGAAGGAAAGTAGCTTTGGAAAGGGCTTGGGAGAGCAAAGGCAACAGAATGACAGCCCAATGCTTTCTACTGCCCAGAGCCCAGAAGCTATCATGTAAATATGTGCTCTGGAGAAAAGGTGAAAGGATGCAGCAAGATGTGAAGGTGATGGAGGAACATCCAGCTCCCAGTGCAGAAAGACCTGGGTAGGGCCACTGTCTTTGCTGCCCACCGGCTATATGACCTTGTTCTGGTGATTTAGATCATGGCTTCAATTTTCTTATCTGTAGTTTTGGATAAACGATGAGAAAAAAGAATGGTAAAATGATTTACCTCATAGGTGTCATAAATATTAAAAGATAATTAAAGCAATGATCTTAGTTCAAGGCAGCTCTTACTATAACAAAAATCATTGAGCCTGTTGTAGCTTAAAAAGAAAGGGCGAGCATAAGAGACAACAGACCCAGGAAAAGGACAGAATACTGACTCAGCCAGCCCTAAGTAAAGGAAATTGTCATCTTCTATTGCTTAGAATTATAGAACAAGGAGCCAAACGGCCTTACACCTTGACTTAATAGAGAGCTCATAGCAGGTAACTTAATCTGGGCTTCAATGGCCTCATCTTTTGAATGAAAACTAGAAATTACCCGGTTGTGAATTATCTATGGCAATAACATGCCAGGGAAAGGCAGAAGGCCTTTAGGAGCTAAGCAAGACCTCAAATGAGAGATACCATAGTAAG